TCTGCCCATGGCCAGGGCTGGCCTGTCCCCGGCCGGCCTCACAGCCAGTAAAGGGACCGTCCCCAGGGGCAGCTCCCCTGCTTCGTGGAGAACATCACAACAGCGGGATGGGGATCAGAGCCTCAAGCTGGTTTATTGCCTGTTTATTGTCTGGGTCCCTCCAGCACTGGTGGCTCCTCACTGCTGGGGGCATGGGGAGAGAGAGTGGCTGGGGCACGTGGGGTCCCTCGGTGGGCCAAGGGAGAGGAGCAGGGTGGGGAAGGGGTGCTGGCCCTGCTCTGCCTGTCATGGCTCCATCCATCCCCGAGGCCGGCAGACTCCAAGCGCTGAACTCCCCGGAATCTGTGAAGTCCTTGGCGGCCACTTGGATGTGGTGGAGGGTCCCGGGTCGCACTCCCGTCAGGGTGTAAGATGTCTGCTCGTATGGCCCAATCTAGGGGTAGAGCGGGGTTAGGGGCACTGATGGGCCGGGGGGCCAGGACACAGCCTTGCTCGGGGATGCATCCCTCAGCTGTGCCTCAGTTTACCCCATGTGGGACATGCAGTGGGGGGTGGGCAGTACCGTTTTGGTGACAGAGCCCTCCTCCCGGGCATAGCGGATGCGATACTTCAGCGGGAAGTACTCCGGGAAGGGCCAGGACCCTGGCGGGCTCCACTCCAGCAGCAGCTTCTTGGTCTCCCCAGGGATGGGTGAGACCCGCAGGTCCTCGGGGGGGTCCGGCTTTACTAACGAAGCAGAGAGACAATGAAGGGGTGAGGTGCTGGCTGGAGGATCTGGCACGGGGCCTCTGGGGGCAGCGACGCCGTGTCCACCGGCCCCGTTGACTCAGCCGCAATCCAGGGTGCAGAGGTGGCCTGAGACCCAGCAAATCATTGCACTGATATTTCCACATCCCAAGTAGGGGAGCAAACCGGAGGGGAAAGGTCCAAAGGAAGCCCCAGGGCTGGATTAGACCCACGCACACTGCTTGGGAGGTGGGGGATTAAGTGCAAAGGGGTCTGCGGGGACAGGGAGTGAACCCCGGTGCCCAGGCCCATCCCAGCAGCACTCACTGATGTTCTCCAGGAGGAAGGGCAGGAGTCTGGATGCAGAGCCCAGGGGGTTCACGGCCGTCACGTTCACCACGTAGGGGGTGAGGGAGAACATCTGC